AAGGTCAAGTTTATTTATATAGCCCTTTAAAACAACATAAATGCTGACCAAAGTGCTGCACAACATACGAGACAAAAACATCCTCATACAATACAATTTAAATACTAATAAAATAAGTCAAAAGAAAACAGAACAAAAATTAATAAAGTTAAAACAAAACAAAATGAAACTAAATGAAAACTAAAATAGTATCAAATTAAGCATATGCCTGAGAAAAAAAAAAAGTTTTAAGAGAAGATTTAAATGTGGATAGAGTAGGGGCTAGTCTAATAAACAATGGTAGGGAATTCCAGAGCTTTGGACCAAGAACTGAGAAAGCCCTGTCACCTTTGGATTTAAGTCGAGATTTTGGAACATTTAATAACATCTGGGTGGAAGATCTAAGTGTTCTCTCAGGAGAGTAGGAATGGAGAAGATCTGAAATATAAGTAGGGGCAAGGCCATGAAGTGATTTAAATACAAATACTAAAACCTTAATATCAACTCTGAATTGAACAGGTAACCAATGAAGTGACGCTAACATAGGTGTGATATGTTCTCTCTTTATTGTCCCTGTTAAAAAAACGAGCCACGGCGTTCTGTACTAGTTGCAAGCGCGAGAGCGAGGACTGATATATTCCAGCGTATAGAGTGTTACAATATCCAACCTGGTTGAGCTGAATGCATGAATAACGGTCTCCAAATCACTAAAGCTCAAAATATTTTTTAAGCTTGCGAAGTCCCCTAAGCTGCAGAAAAACTACAGAACTGATTTGTTTGTCAAATTTTAACTCAGGGTCAAGGGTAATTTTTCCCAGATTTTTAACGTTATCGCGAATGTTTTCTTCAAGGGGCCCAGGGTAGAACTTAGATTATTTAAAAGGTGTGAAGGGCCAAACAACATAACTTCAGTCTTTTTCTGATTTAGTTGAAGGAAATTTTTGTCCATCCAAACCTTAATGTCCTCTAAACAAGCTAGCAGAGAGGACACTGAATCAGTACCTGATTTTAAAGGAAAATAGAGCTGAGTATCAACAGATTAGTTTGGGCTATCCATACCTGATGTTGTGTTTGAACCATGTTGGCCATGGATTGCCCCAGGGCTTGAGCATGCGCACTTGTCCCTCAGATCAGCATATCCACCACTCGCAATGTCTCTGGGATGTTTTCCTCATCTGTCAAAGTGGAGGACAAATCCTGAAGCAGACCCGCTAAATAAACCAAGAGGAGAGAGTTTGTGCATGCAAGTCTTGCCGACAAGGCAGAGGCATGATAGGCTTTCCGCAGCTGACTGTCAATTATTCTACCATGCTTGTTAGGGTGTATAGCATCTCTTCCAGTCCTGGCCATAGCCCCAGTCAACATAGCAAATGTGGGTCAAATCTGAGGAGCTGTAGCAAGCCCATAAGTTACTGCCCCTGCCAGGTTGCCCAGCTGTGTCCTAGGGAGGGCCGTAGAACTAGGGGCCTTCCAGGAAGACTGCAACTCCGTTATAAAATCAGGAAGTATTGGCAATCCCTCTGTTTTACGACGCTGAGGGCCTCTATCAAACACTGAGGTTGATGTTGAAGCAGCCTGGGAAGGCAGTTTTGCATGCTCAGCTGCTCTGGAAATCACTGCTTTATCTGAAGGGTCCAGTGCAATAGGCTCTGAGGCCTCAGAAGCACCATCCCCCGTTTCTGACTCAGAGATGTCCTCTGGTTCTGAAGGCACATAATTTTCATCCCTTCCAAACACTCCAGACGCTGCCACTGAAAGCTCATCAGGGTGGCGGCATGGACGTTTTGATAATGGCACCCCCAAGTCTTGAGGTTCTGCCACCCATTGCGGAGCCACTAACAAAGTGTTCAGGGTCTCCTGCATACCTTGCATTTGCTTCTGAAGCTGACCAATGTCCCCTTCTACATGCTTGCGTTTACGAGCTTGTTTAGGTCTGACACCCTCTTCCTGAGGATCCCGTTCAGACCGAAGTGGCTCTTTGCCTGCAGGCATCTCATAGGGTAAACCAGTGGTGTTCTCCTCTTGCATTATAAAAGAAGGAAACTTAAATCAGTTAGATAGCTTTCTTCTCCAGAGGCGAAGAGGCCTCTTTGTCTGAATTACAATAAAACTCCCACGCTGTGATCACAAACAGCTCTCCTCTACTCGGTAACTTTCACGCTTACAGGTGAAGAGGCCCCTCTTTGGCTGTTTGTTATGAAATGCCTATAAAATATATATATAAATACAATTATAAATATAAATATATAAATATAAATATACTCACCTTACGTTTTGTAAGTGAAACACACACACAACCACGGTAGCTTTCACCCTCACGGGTGAAGAGGCTCCTTTAATCACACAACGAACGCACTTGTTTACAAAAAGCACGTGCCAATGCGGCAGTTTAAACCCTCGCGGAAAAAGAGACTCCGGTCAGCCAGATACAACAAAAGAATGCGCAGCGAAATCTTACCATCAAACAGCTTTCATCGATAGGTAGGAGGCAAAAAAAGAGAAAGAGCCGGCTACATCGCACCTGTATTTATAGACCTTGATTGCAAGCGGGGCATGGTTAATTTGATATAACGTCTCCTGACAGCTCATCCTTAGCGAGGCTGACCCATACTGTGTCGTGTTGACTGAGATGAAATAGAACTGAGGTTATAATGAGGCACTTCCAATGGAAGAGAAAAAAATAAAAAATAGGCATTAAAATACTCACTGATGAAACAGTTTGTGTTAACATGATTTTAGTGTGTGGTTTGGTTCTGTAAGGCACTGCTGGCTTCTGTAGAGCTGCTTTACAGCTGAAATGCATCTTACAGACACTGGAACTGAACTGAACTGAATCAACACTGAACTGACTAATGCTGAATAACAATATTGCTGCCTATAACTGATTGATTAACTTCACACTGAAATTGATCTGAACTGACTTGAGCTAAATAATGACACTCTTGTCTTTTAGAGCTGCTTTACAGCAGAATTACAGTCTCCATAGTTGAGTTTCCATCAATGATTCTGCTATGTTCCTGTTTATCTCTGTGAAGCTCTTGTATAAAGTGCTATAGAAATAAAAGTCACTTGACTTAAAAAAAAGTTTTTTTGTTTTTTTTTCAAAAGTGGTATTCTCATCTAGGAATTTGTTAAAACTTGTTAAAAGTTTATCCGTATATGTAAAATTGCACATTAAGTCTGATAAATAAATGCTGTAAGAGTGTTCATGATTATTTCATGTTAGCTGCATCAGTTTAAAGCGTATGGATAGGAGTTTGTTGAGCAATACTGATGCTTAACTTCACTAGCACTGTATCTAAGAACCTGTAATAATATAATACAAGCTGTTTACAACCATGTAAAGTATTAATACCTGCATATTACCAAAGTAATGTGTAATGAGTGTGTGTGGCATTGACAGTATGTGTGTCTGTTTGCTGAGGTTTATTACAGTTTTTTACGATTGTTTACACACTAAAATAAAAATGTCCACACAATTTGCAAAATTCTACTCCAATGAGCAAAACACCTCCACAGATTTGCACAACATTACACACAATGTCTGCTTCACCCTTTTTGCAAAACATTACACACAGTGATTTGTAAAACTCTACACACATTTTCACACCTTAGACACAGATAAGGATTGTGAGGTTACTTCCTTGTCATTACAAAGCCCCGGATTGCCAATGACCACACTAATGAACGAATTGGATAATCACATCCACCAGGTGTGGAAGCACACATGTGCTAATTTGAAAACGCAGCACTCAGGTGTGCTATAAAAGGCAGCAGGTGAGTTCACCTGTCTTCAACAAAAATGGAAGGAGCTAGAAGAAGAAGAAGAAGAGTGAGAATGAGAGGGGGAGCTCAAAGAGGAGATGAAGGAGGTAGAGGAAGAGGTAGAGAAGGACTTGAAGAGTTGATAGAACCCGAACAAAGAAGACGAGGACCTTGGGTGAACTAACCGTTTAAGACCAAAATATGTGGTCTTAAAATACCAATCACACTTTAGTGTGACACTTTCCTGTCGCTCAGACAGAACATCAATGCCAAAGTCATGGGTCTGACTGCCAGGGAAAGAACTGATAAAATGTAAATGTGTAACTTGAATGCAATGTAAGTCACTTTGGATAAAAGCATCTGCCAAATGCTAAATCTAGTATGCTAATCGTAACATGACATCATCGCTGATTGTTGAATTTTGAGCATTCTAACAATAAAATGAAAGGCATATTTTCAAACTTTTCAAATTTTGGTGAAAAGGAAAACTAGAATGCCCACATAAGACGTGGAGAAGGAATTCCCACGGATCAGTTCTCGAGCAGGTGTTCCTGATCTAGTTACAGCTACATGTGCGAGCAAGTAAAGATTCTGTAGGCTCCGAGCAGTCAGTCAAAGTGTTACTGGAGAGAAAGCAAACTCACGTGTGGCTTCTGTTGTGCGTCGGCTGTACGTTCGACGAGCTCGGTATCGAACGACGAGTTCACCGCTCTCCATCATGGGTTCAAATGCCTCACTTTACAACAACACAAACAAATGCAACTCTTTAAGCCCACATATTCTTCACATGGAACAGTACCTCTTAGTATTTTTCATTACTTTATTCAGTTATTATATTTTTGGTAATGTTATATCTAAACTATACCTGTTGTAACCATTGCTAAACCAAAATATGTACACTTAAAACAGCTCCCACATCTTCTCAGTACTTTATTTTACTAAAAGGAATGAAGATTGACCCCATGGGATCAGGATGAGAGTTTTGTGCCTTCTAGTTCCTGTCCCTTAGCTCTTGTCTCATGTAGGGTTATGAGGAGATGCTGGAGACTATTCCAACATCCTGCTAACAGACATACACATTCACACTTACAACTATGGACAATTTAATGTCTGTAGTTCATGTATGCCTTTTCATTTTCCAGTTAGGTTTAATAGTAGCAGTAGCATCTCTGCTCAGACCCACAGTGTCAGAATCCAGCAAAAACAGCAGAAAGCCTCATTACTACCCACCCAAAGCGTGTCTCCTTCCACCTCAGCCTGGTCACGTACACGGCCAAGAGCACAGTGAGAACGATGGCAGCGGCGATGGCCATGACCACATACCACCAGTGCCAGGAGAACGCCGGAGCACTCAAGATATCTTCACACAGACGCAGAGAAAGAAACTCCGATTTAAAATGTCCAGACTGTCAATGTAAATTAGATTCTAAAGAGGAATGCAAGCCAAACCTAGTGAGCTGCCTACTTAGGATATGGAGCTTTTTCTTCAACAGTTGTTTACTGAGGGCTGTGAGTGATGATTTTCGGTAAAGCTGAGTAAAAAGCATTGACTTCATCAAATCTGACTTGGCACTGGCAACTGGCTGGACAGATTTCAAACAGGTCTGAAGTCTGCTTACACTAGAAGAGCATTACCAATGGGCATCTGTCGCCACCTGAGACTTTGTACTGCAAACTAGTCACAGCAAGTGTTATTTCAATTACAGAAGCAGCTGTGAGCTGTAGTTTACGTCTAGTTAAGTCACCCCAGGCTAGATTCAAACTTGGGTTGCGTAAATAAGCCATACCATACCTCTCACTCCCCACTAGGCCAATATCTGATGTGTCTTTATATTTTATCATGGTCATCTGTTCAGAGACTAGAGACTGAATGTGTGTTTTGTTCAGCTGGTCACTGGTTGAATTAGCTCATTAAAATGACCTCGGTGCATATGTGTCCATATTTACAGCAGGGCGTTGCTTCTAGAGAATGTCCGAAAGTCTTTCCACATGCCTCCCACTCAACAAAACTGCTCTCAGGTTTTGCCTGCAACTAATTTCCTCACATTTCTTTCTGTTCATTTCTTGCCCTCATATCTCTTTTTATTTCCTCTTTTCTGAGACAGCAACAGCAGACAGAAAGAAAAACAACAACAGCATTTTAAGAAGGGCTCTAAATAAGGGAAGTAAAAGGAAAAGTCCACTTCTATATTTTGTGTGGGACGAAATGTTCCCAACATTAAATAACAACTTCATTAAAACATACACAAGTACAGAGGTTTCTGTGAGGGTTAGGGTTAGGGTCAGGGTAGAACAAATATAATTAGATCAATATAAAAACATGTACAAGTCAGTAAGAAGTTCCCATAATGGTGTGTTTGTGTGTGTGAGTGTGTGTGTGTGTGTGTGTGTATGTGTGTTTGTGTGTGTGTGTCACTCACCTCTGGATTGCCCCGTTTCTGCAAAACATTGCAAAGAAAGAGACCGTTAACATTCAGTGGAACTGTTTGACCTGTGAGAATTTTAGATGTGATTACTGTCTTCCTGCTTTCATACCTGCATGAATGAGTGTGATGGTTTGGAGGGGCGTCCAGGGCCCCTGTCCCGCTCCGGTGTATGCACACACTCTAAAGGAAACGTTCGACAGGGGGGCTGAGAGATTGACAAACAGCTCTGTGTCCAAACCTGTGTCCACCACAACCTGCAGACCAATCCATCATAAACAACAAAGCAATCCAGTCAACATCAAACACTACTTCCTGGAATCTGACAGATTGATACAGCTATTTAGTATAGAGAAAACAAATGATAAAAATATAAACATGGTAATGTTTTTCAGAGATGGAGGAAAGGAAATCCAAAAGCAAACACAAATATTGTTGTCAGTGTGTGTGTGTGTGGTCACCTGTTCCATGTTAGGTGCGCTGTACTCCATCATGTATCCCTGCAGCCGTCCATTCATCTTTCCAGGAGGTTGTGACCATCTCAGGAGCACTTCTGTTCCGTTCACCACAACCGTCACATTGTCCGGGGCTGTATCGGGAACTAAAACACAAATAAAATGGCACAAATTAACATTCTCGTTCAAATTGTGAAATAACCCAGGCTCAATAGAAATATGCTACTGTACCTACATTTCTCAAAACTGCAAATTTCACTGCAGTTTCCAGGCGAAATGAACACTAGAGGCAGTACAATGCCAACAACTTTTGATTGTTTTCACACAAAATATGATTACAGGTGTAGATTATTGATTAATAAACACTTTTTTATTTTTGTTTTATTTATATTTATTTATTTTTGCATCACATCTGCACTGTGTATGGAATTTCTGATGCAGTAAACTTGCTTTTTAGCTCACCTGGTACAGCATTGCACATGTGATGTAAAATGACTAATGAAATAAAAGTCACATTTAACTGTTTCTGAGAAAATCGAACACACTGTGTAGTGACAGACACTGGACATTTCACTTTGAAACTGCTGTGAAACATGCTACAAGCAACTCAATATAAGAAAAATGATTTAGTTTATAGCACTTCTTGTGGAAATGTCATGTAAAATACGAAAAACACAAAGAGCTGTCTATTTTAAAGAGACAATGCGAAAACCTGTGTACACGTTCTGGCCAGTAAATTTCCTCAATTTATACTCCGTCACCAAGTAAATTCTGGATTCTGGCTGTAGCATTTTAACAGGCGTAGAATAGTGTGGAATATAACAGGCAGGTTTGGGAAACCACATTAAGAACAGACACAAAGATGTTTTGACAGTCTTCAGAATCCATGAGAAGTATAATTTCATGTGTGTAAGTTCAAGTGTCCCAACACTGAGAACAGACTGAAGAGACAGAGCTTAAGCTATGACAAAGGGAGACACTTACTAATAAATGCCCCATGCATACAGTCATGGTCAGAATTGTTGGCACCCTTGGTAAATATGATCAAAGAAGTCTGTGAAAATAAATCTGCATTGTTAATCATTTTGATCCTTTATTTAAAAAAATCACATAAATCTAACCTTTCATTGGAGAATAAGAATTTAAAATGGGGGGAAATATCATTATGGCAAATGTTTTTCTCTAATACACATTGGACACAATTAACGGCACCCTTTTGTTCAATGCTTTTTGAAACCTCCATTTGGCATAATAACAGCTTTGAGTTTTCTCCTATAATGCCTGATGAGGTTAGAGTGCACCTGACAAGAGATCAGAGACCATTCCTTCATCCAGAATCTCTCCAGACCCTCCAGATTCCCAGCTCCATGATGGTGCTTCTCCTCTTCAGTTCACCACACTCATTTTCTATAGGGTTCAGGTCAGAGGACTGGAATGGCCATAGCAGAAGCTTGGTTTTGTGCTCAGTGACCCGTTTTTGTGTTGTTTTTAAGGTTTGTCCTATTTATATTCCTGTGAAACAGGAAGCCATGGCTGGATAATGTCATGTTCATAATCACCCTGGAGTGCTCAAAATTGTAAATATGAATGGGAATGTACTTCAGAGATATTTTACTCATAATAATTTCTAGGGGTGTCAATAATTGTGTCCAACGTGTATTTGAGAAAAACATTTATTTCATAATGAGATTTTCACCCATTTTCAATTGTTTTAGTTCAATGAAAGGTTAGATATTTGTGATTTTTTTGTTTATAAAAGAACAAAATGATTAACAATGCAGATTTATTTTCACAGCCTTCTTTGATCATATTTACCAAGGGTGCCAATAATTCTGACCACGACTGTACATAATATAACAGACAAAATGTTGTTTTTTCTTTATACATGTATTAAAAAAAAAACTTCTTTCCACTGTATTTCGTAATTTCTGACCATATTTGATTGTAATTTTGAAAGTCATCACTGTATATGATGATTTTCTACGGTATACTGTAGAAAAGAATCACCCCCTTTAAAATAATCACATTTTGTTGCTTTGCAGCCTGAAATGAAGACAGACACAGTTTTTGTTTTATCCAGCTGTATTTACTTATAACATCCAAGTGAAAGATATAAAAACAACAAGTCAAAAAATAAAAATAAAAACCAGAATCACTGAGTTGGAAAAAGGATCATCTCCTTATGTCAGTATTTTGTTGAACTACATTTTGCTGTAATTACAGCCTTTAGTCTGTTGGGATTTGTCTCTACTAACTTTGCAATATTTGCTCACTCTTCTTTGCAGAACTGCTCAAGTTCAGTTCAACCTGATGGTGAGTGTTTGTGGACTGCAGTCTTCAGGTCATTGCACAGATGTTCAGTGGGGTTTCAGTCTGGACTCTGACGAGGCCATGCAGGACATTCAGCTTTTTCTCCTTCAGCCACTGTGTGCTCAGTTCTGCTGTGTGCTTTGGGTCATTCTCATGTTGGGAGGTAAACCTTCTTCCCATTGACAGCTTTCTGGCAGATTTTCCTCAAGAATTTGACAGTATTTTGCTTGTCCATTTCTCCTTCTATCCTGACAATTGCTCCAGTCCCTGCTGCAGAGAAACACTCCAGTAACAGGCCATCACCAGCTCCATGCTTTACTGCAGGAATGCTGTTATCTGGATGCTGAGCTAGATTGGGTTTCCACCAGACATATCGTTTGCTGTTGAGGCAAAATAATTCAGTTTTAGTCTCATCTGCCTCAGAATCTTCGAGGTGTGTTTTGGCAAAGCTCAGTCTGACTGCATGTGGCCTTTCTTGAGGAGTGGCTTTTTTCCATACGAGCCACCATAAAGCCACATTTCTGCACTGCTTCAGAGTTGCTGTAGCTCTCGGTCTCCTCTCGGATCGGTTTCATCAGTTTTACCAAATACCTTCCACTTCTTAATAATAGACTTCACTGTGCTTCTAGGCATTGATAAAGCCTTTGAAATGTTTTTGTCTTCACCTCCCGACTTGTGTCTGTCCACAGCTTTATCCCAGAAATGTTTTGACAGTGCCATAGTTGATTGTTTGCTTCAGTTGCTCTAGCAAGGACTGAAATGCTCCAGGAAAGCTCTTTTCATGCTGAGCTGATCAGAATGAGCACAGCTGATCACAGGTGAAAGTCAGATGGCTTTAGCTGCGTCCGAAATCGCATACTTCCATACTATATAGTAGGCGAAAAACAGAATGCGAGGCGAGTAGTATGTCCGAATTCATAGTATTCGAAAAACAGTAGGCGAGAAGTACCCGGATGACCTACTACTTCCGCCCGAATTCCGTAGCATGCATACGATGGACACTTTACTATCCCATGAGGCCACGGGACAGGAGGCGTCATATTCGAAAATGGCGGAAGGCAGCGACGTGGCTCTTTTCAAGTGTAAGTACCTCAGGGAAAAACGTTGTTCATTGTGGTTAAATTGCACTTGTTTAACATGATCTAAGTGAACGGCTGACTTATTGAAAGTTTAAACATTGTAAATCGATGAGATGATTTCGTGAATCGGCTGTAAAAAGATGTTTAATCATTGTTATTACTGAGCACATCAAGTTAACGAACAGATCGAGCTAGTGTCAATGCTGTTGTACATCAGCTTGTTAACTGCTTTTTTAACGGAGACGTTCGTTGTTAAGCAGTTTAATGAGATTAGACAATTCCACAGACTTTAAAACATTTTTTTCCCCTCTTTTACTAATATTTAGTTGATATTTTGTTAGCGATCAGCCGCCTCACTGTTAATATATATGCCACAGTGATTCTGTGCACAATGTATATCTATAATATTTATTTAGCTATGTATATATTGTATGTATTCATTCTCTCCCTCTCTCTCTCCGTTTATCAAATTGTGTATTATGTATTCATTCAAGTTTATTCATTGATTCATGTCTTTTGTTTGTCCTGTGTATTTTTATGCATTTATTTATAACAATAAATTACTTTATTTCGTTGCTCCAAATGAGCCTCTGCCATGGTGTTCACAGACATGACTTTTTATTCTGAGGTAAAATGTGCTAGCTAAATAGGTGATTGTACTTACCTTATTTGATAAATGATTTACAAGCTGTCGACAAAGGCGTGATCTGCGAGCAGCTGACCGCCGCTTCCTCTGAGCTGTTGATGCAATCAACATTAAAACGCCGATGAAAGCGGTAAGAATTACGTGAAACATTGCTGATGTTCGCGCAGTAGTGAGGGCTCTTTAAATTTTGGCGCTGTTGTGAAGACGCATGTCACAATGATTTACAAGCTGTCGACGAAGGCGTGATCTGCGAGCAGCTTCCCGACGCCTCATCTGAGCTGTTGATCCAATCAACGTTAAAACGCAGATGAAAGCGGTAAGAATTACGTGAAACACTGCTGATGTTCGCGCAGTAGTGAGGGCTCTTTACATTTTGCCGCTGCTGTGATGACGCATGTCACGTGACAACATCAACATGGCGGATGTAGTACGTCCGAATTCCATTCATACTACTCTCATTCATACTATATAGAACGTACTTTTTTAACGGTCGAGTAGTACGTTCAAATTCAAATGTAGTACCTCCTAAGCAGTATGCGATTTCGGACGCACCCTTTGTGTGTCATTTAGAAGGTGATCAGCTGCACCTGATTGAGTTTACAAGTTATTTTTAGGAGGAGCTGATTCTTTTTCCAACTCAGTGATTCTGTTTTCTATTTATTTTCTGACATGTTGGTGTTTTATCTTGCACTGGGATGTTATAAGTTGCACTGAGTAAATACAGCTGCATAAAACAAAAACTGTGTCCATCTTCATTTCAGGCTGCAAAGCAACAAAATGTGATTATTTTAAAGAGGGTGATTATATTCTACACCATCACTGCTACACCTACCAGCATATTTAATGGCCTGATATTTATCTTTATTTTTCATTATTTTTACACAAAATTGAATTAACACTGCAAAAAAACTGATTATTTCCAAGATGATAACTACATACAATGAGACAACAATGTGAAACACAGCTGTTACTATGTCTTCTGTTGGACTGATTCACTGTTTGTATTACTAGTATGAGTGTTCTCTGCAGCATTCAGTGAGTAGCAAGATTGTATTACAGTCTGAACATATTTATACTTTTGACATATTTTGCAGAAGTGCAGTAAAGAGCC